ATTTGAAAAAAAAAAGCAAACGGACTATTTGATTAAAGGGCTGGGGGAAGGAATCACATGAAGCGAAAGGAAATCAATCACAAGCGGCACCGCTAGTGCAATCACACCTGGAATGCATCGGAATGGGCACGGGAGGGAGGCTGAAATGTGAGGGAGGGCGAACGGGAGGGAGGTTGAAACGTGAGGGAGGGAGGTTGAATGAGGCCAGACGCGATTTGGTAACAACCTCTCAATGATCCTCGTGACGTATACACTTCAGCCATCTTCACAACCATTTATAGAAGGAATGCCTGAGTCGATCTCGACGTGTCGCGATCGGGATCCGATGGGGAACCGAAAACATTCCATGATCGAGCGATTGAATGCGCTTCTCGCAGTCGACACAATGACAAGATTCGACTAACCGGTTCGTACGTATATCTCGAGAAGGGGAAAAAAAGTCACTGGAGGGGAAAATCCTAAGATCACACTCGATGCAAAACGGATAAAAAATAGCCTATATATCATCATCCAATCGCGAATCGACGATTAATAATCGAACGGGGGGGGGAAGGGAAATAATATAGATGAGCACCGTGGAATGAAGGGACGAGAGGGTTCGCTTTCACAAGTCCGTGGTGTGGGTCTGAATGCGGACCTTCTTCATGGAGCCGTTCCGCTGGAAGCGGGGAGACTGGTCGAATCCCGGATTCGGGATGTGCTGGCCCAGGTCCAGCGAGTCCGAGTCGCTCGGGTTCCGCTTCTTCTTCAGGGAGGACTTGAGGGGGCCCGTGCGGGTGAGAGGGGGGGGGAGCACGGGGGAGGGAGGGGGGGCGGGGTGGCCGTTCGCGTGGGGGGAGCGGCTGATGCGACCGCTGCCGCTGCGACCGCTGCGACTGCTACCACCGCTGCGACTGCTGCCGCCGCTGCCGTGTCGAGTTCGTCCGGGGCTGCGTCCGTTCGAGGGGCTGCGTCCATTCGAGGGGCTGCGTCCGTTGGGCGCTTTGGCACTCACTTGGTGGGGGAGTTGGGAGCGGGGGCTGGAGGTCATCTCCAGATGGTGCCCGTTCCGCTGTCTCTCCTTGAAGCCGGGGTTCGCGATCGTCTTGGATTTGATTCCTTCCGGGTCGCGGGAGTAGACGGTCGGGTCGCCGCCCAGCCCGCGGGCGAGGTGGAACTCCCAGCCGATGCCGAAGCACATCAGGATCTCCAGGACGATCACCACCACCTGGGGGGGGAGCAGATTTTTTTTTTCCGCCGCGAATCTCTCCGACTCCGAATTTTTTTCCGCAGACTCACGATCAGGTAGAAGGAGTACCCCCGGATGACTCGGAATCCAAGCTCCCTGGAATCTTCTTGCAGGCTGAAGAACACTCCAGACAGCAAGGCACAGAACGCTGTTTGTAGAAAAAAAAAATTCGCGTGAAACCCCGAAACTTCGAAGGAATCTCCCCGACCCGCCTGGAAGGGAAGCGAAGGCTTTCACAGGAAGGACAGGAATGAGCAAGGCAACGACGGATCACCCCGCTTTTTCTGGGTCGGACAAATGCGTTCGATACGATTGCTGGACTTTGGTATACGGACCCATGCCAAAGGCAGCTGCTCCACTTTCATAAGGGGCGGTGGACGTCTGCGTCACGAGGGTCTACGTAATGGACGTCTCGGTGAATTGCTATTAGTAAGTTGCATCAGAACAAAGAACCCGCAAGGACGGTGTATTTCTTAAGACGGTGAAGGCAGGAGTGATACGCAACAGCTGCATTTGTGAGTCGCAACTCTCCGCATGGAAATCGACTCTCCTACGACCGCGCTGACAGGCTGCACATGAGATATGATGGCAGGCTGCACGTGGGGCATGATGGCCGGCGCTGAGAAATTTCGGGACAGAAAGTCTGGATGGGCCGAAGTCAGTGCAAGATATGGACTTAAAGGGCGTGTTTTGTTCATGACGCAGATGGAAGCAGGAAAAAAAAAAAACAGCTGGTTTTTTGTGCTTAACGATGGACGTATTCATGGGAATGATTCACGGAAAACTTAATAACTTTGGCCGGGTAGGAAATTCCTGTCTGGATTTGTAGAGGTTTATGACCTTTGTTCATTTCGTCTCCCACTGGCAGTGGCAGTTACAAAGAAAGGCGGCGGAGAATTTATTTTGGAGCGTGTTGCTTCGGGCATTCGAAAGCCAGTGTTGCTGGATCCCCCCAGACACTTCCGAATCTTCGCGACCGCGAGAGGAACGAAAGGCGGACCAACCCGAAATCGACACAGTAAAGGAACTACTCTCACTTTCATATTTTTTTCACCATGCATTCCAGTCAACCGGTTCCCGTTTGTACTCAGAGGCACGCAATGTTTTTATACGCACTGCTGGTCGATGCATCGAATGGAGCAATGAGATTTATAAATGCGACCTAAGTACCGAAACGGGTTTGCTTCCTTTTTTTTTTAAGAAATTCCCGGCTGTGACGTAGCGGGGGATTTCCGAGCTAATTGCAAGAATTGTTTTTCTTCTATAAGACTCTTATCATATAGTTTTTTTGCGTTTCATCTCATACGATGATGGCTTATCACATATGTCTAATCGCCACTGAGCTGTTGCGAACGCGAAAGCTCTTCCTGCGCTAAATCGTCAGCTCTTCAAGGCAGCAGCGGAAAAACTTCATTGCTCGGTGGCACGATAATTACAGGGGCTTTTTCAAGGTCGTGGGGCTCCTCTTCTGCCTTTAGGAGGAGGAAACACCGAAGCGTCTTTTTATTTCTTCGGGCCATCGCTCACGCCGAGGCATAAGATATATACGGCAGGTTCGTGTGACGTCATCGACCAGCCCACTTGACTGATGGATGGCCTCAGCAAAAGAAAACATGGTGCAACTGCGAGAATGATAGCGAGTGGCGGACGCGATGCTGTTTCAGAAGGCTTCTGTCGCCTTAGTCACTACGATCTAATGTGAAATACAAACCTCAAGCCTGAAAAAGCTTTAAAAACCAACCAGACAACATTTAAATCAAGTTAAATTAAAACTAATTGTGATGAAGTCAATCGAATATCACTCTAAGGCAGTGACGCACAACCCGCGGCCTGTGCATCTTGCGCCTCCTTGGATGCCTCCCGCCTCTAAAAATCCATATTTATATGTGGCCTATTTCGGCTCATGCTTGAACGTCTCGAACCCTCGAACGTGAGCCGAAGTCTCAATTTGGCCCTCTAGGGGGAAAAGGTTGTGCACCACTGCACTAAGGCAAAGGATGCATAACCAGTCCAAATATGCACCTTGAGTGCAACGGTCTATCCGGTCAAGCTAACAGCATGAAGGAAATAATGATCCAGGACGAGAGGGAAAAACTGAAATATTTTCCACCTCCCCAGCGAGGGGGGAGGTGAGGGGGGGAGGAGGACCTGGGTGCCTCAAAGGTTTCATATTCTACAATGGAATCTGCTCGTTGATGGGTGCATCCCAAATTACACGGCACAGTTTCGTTTAACTGGTGACAACTAGGCACAATAATCCGGGAGTGGAAGCATGATCTATCCTCTACCCAGATTTTTCTTTCTGACATGTCTATAGCCTGGCTTTGAATAGGGGGAGAAAGGGACTGGGGGCGGAGAAGGAGCGGGATCAATTCAATTCTCCATCAGTCCACTCCCTCTTTGCTGAGGGATACATCGGGGCTGAGTGAGGGCCTGCAACGGACGGTTGGGGTCCCTGTCCTCCCCCGCTGCTTCTCGCTCTCTGTGTCCGAGAGGTTCTCTCTCCGCCTAAACCAAGGCTGTGCGGTGCGAGGGTCGGGTGTGTTCTGGCGGGTAGGGGGACATTGGGATACTTGGACGCCGAGATTCTTCATGATTTGTTCTGGAAGGATTGCCGCGGATGTCGAGAACTGATACCTGGAATATTCGATTTATTTCACGAAGATTGTTCTGATCTTGCAAATGGGTTTCTTGCATTGAGAAATATGTAGGTCGGAAGTCCTAGCGACAATCGCTAATCCTCATTATCACCCTCTTCAGAGTCCTCGAGTGTTTCCTGTCCGACCCAATTCCATGGCCACACTCTAACCGGGTGTATGAACCCAGAGAAAGTGCAATTGCCTCGACTAAAGTTTCTTGCTTCAGTTGCCGTTTTCTTTTTTTTTTTTTTTTAGAAGCGGTTCCCATGCGGCAGTTGCCGGCCTAATAGGCCAACATTCTCCTCTAATCTCCCACAAAATCCGGATCTTATTACCGATACAAATGGGAGCAAGGTTCTGTCCCCCACAGAGCTCTTTGTGAAAAATCTTCCCTTTCTTCTATACTCGAGGTAATGGGTCGGGAGAGAGCGCTGACGAGGGGACGGTAATGAATGTGGGTCAAAGGGGAAACTTCATTTGCCCTCTCCTTCGAAAGCGGGGGAGAGACAAGAGACTTTCCTTATTGGCTCCTTCCATTCACTTTCCCCATCATGTCATGCTCTCCCAGGATCAGGTACACACATATTATACGAGGATTGGGTTACGTTGAATAATTCAGGCGTGTTGTCAAGCTGAGGGGTGCCTTTCAGCTTCCGTTTGCCGTTCCTCCTCGTTTGATTCACGTCCAATTTCCCTCATTTCAATTTCTTCCGTCTAATTTCCCCTCTTGTTGCGCTGCATGTTCGTACGCTCTTATACGACCGGAAGTGATCCTCGCCGAGGTCGCCGAGCCGAATTCCCCGGCCTTTTCTTCTCTTAATGACCCTCTGATAATCGTCCTCGGATGAGAAGCGACAAACACCTCGTCAGTCATGAGAGAGACATCACGCGATGACAATGCCCCCCGGGGGTTAAGAAATTCATCCGTTTATCAAAACAGATTTTTCCTTGGAAAGCCCGCCCTTGGCGAGGGTTCTAAACGGTTTCAAGGCCTTCCAGCACGAACAAGTCAGATCAGCATGACAGATGTCATCGTGGATGCTATGATGCGTGTCGTGCCCTCGCGTGCCGTCCCTTTTTACGCCGCAAAAATCGAAAAGACGTGTGAGACGTGGTTTGTTTGCAGGCTCCCGAGCATGGAAAGCGGCAAAAGACAAGAGACAAGTACCAGTTCCTCCCGTACATGTTTGATGAGATGACAAACCTTAATTATGCTGCCACTGCCTTTCCATAAAGGAACATTCTTCCTTTCCCCTGTACGAGCTTTCCCCCCGGATTACTTTCTTTTGATGCGACGAAGAATCCGGAACGACGAGGAAGAGAAACCCTCCCCCCCCTTGGGACTTGATTGTAATTATTTTCGTACCTAACGTCTTTTGAGACGGAGACAGAGACGCCACCCACGCCCTTCCCGTTCCATTCTCCCTTCCCCCGTCGTTTCCATCTTAATAAAATGCATTTTTTTCCGATGTTCTCGCTGCGACGCCCTTCCATCGATCGCGAAGGGACTTAAAGGTCCGACGCGGAATGCGGACCGAATGAATGGGGAGAGACAGGTGGATTGTGCACCTGCTTTCATGATGCGGTCATGCCCGGCTGATCGCCACAATCCGATTCCCTGATTAGCACCGACGATAGCAGCCTTCATACGCGAGTGGATCTGATTTTCATCCCGATGGAAGGCAGGGGGCGAAGCGGGGCGCAGGGAGGTGAAGGAGGGGGTGAAGGGGGGGGGGGGCAAAGGGGGGGGGAATAAAGTGAAAACGCGATAACGCGAATCTTGAGAACGGAAAACAGGAAGAAAATTTCTGGAGCAATGATAAGAGAAGGGGAGCTTTTTCCAACGGTCCCAAACGGCGTATACGGTACCTTTGCATGTGCCATATGCAGGGGATATGAGAGCTGTGCAAACAGACGTGCGAGATAAGATCCTCTCTTGCAATGAAGAGTCGATAAATAAAAAAAATAACAAAGAAGGAGGAATCTCACCTCATACGCACATCGTTGCCACAGGAAAAAAAAAAGGAGGGAATTTTCCCTCAGGAAAAACCAGTTAAGGGCTCAAGAGGTTTCAAGCGCTTAACAGTGTATCAAAATGATGGGCCATTGGCTCGCAACGGTGTGGATTAGCATGAAAAGGGACCCGGCAAGCCCGAGTAATAAAAGTTCTCGTTGAAGGGCATTTCCCCAGGCGCGGACCGGGGCCAGAAAAAGCCAGGCGGGATCCCCTCGGGGGGTTTTCCTCTCTATTTCCTACAGGGGGAGGGGAAAAGATAGGCCTTGTCCCTGCGGCAGGGGCTTTTGACCTGCACGCCTTTCGAAAGGGAATGGGATTACAACACATAGAGGGGGGGGGGGGGGGGGAATGGGTCATTAGATTTAGAAAGGACTGATTCCCAGGCAACCCTATCTTTTTTTTTTGTCAGTTGAACTCCGCACGTTTTCACTCGAGTCCGTCTGATTTGCATTTGAATGCTTGTTCGAAGGCGAAGAGCATGAGATGCTTGCACCTGCCGAAGTCGAGTGGATAGGAATTTCGTTAAATGAACAAAAATAAAATTGATTGACACTGTAAGACCTCCTGCCTCGCATTAGAAAGGATTTGAAAAATTGAGCTGCTGGAATGATCCCCTCGTTTTCGAGTCTGACGAGCCTGCTCGGCCGGTTCCAAAGTGGTCCAGACTTGGAGGCCACTATGAGGATTTCATTGACGGAATGTTACCCCA